GAAAGTCACTATCAAGGAAAAACAACGAAAAAAGAAGCAAAAATTAAACTTCTGTGCAGCAAACATTTTTAAAAAAGCAAAAACTAGATCCGAAAATAAAAAAATTAAGAGCAAAATTTAAAAAAAAAAAACAAAAAAAGTCAGTGAATTATCAGGAACAAATAGTTTTGGAGCAGATAATATCGATGTGAATTATGCAGAATGTAAAGTTTCCAATCTTAAAAGCAGAAATCATCCTAAGGCAGTAACCTAGACGAAATCAAAGAACGAAACAATATGAAGCGATCAGAGAAAAACTGATTCAACGATCAGAGAATTGAATAGCACTACATACACTTTACACTTTTTTTGGTTGCAGAGAAATACCGGGAATTATTTGTTTTCTCGGCAACCAAACAGAAAGTCAATTATCAAGGGAAAAACAACGAAAAAAAAGGCAAAATTAAACTTCTGTGCAGCAAACATTTATTAAAAGGCAAAAACTAGATCCAACAAATAACAAATTAAGAGCACAAAATTAAAAAAAAAAAAAAAAAAAAAAAAAAAAAAAGAGATCTGACCGACCTTTTCGATGAAGAGAGACGATCGTGATCCTTAGATCTGAGTTTGTTTGTTTTTTTTGTTCGTGGTTTTTGGAGCGCGCCGGTGGGGGGGGTTTTGGGTGGCAGGGGCTAGGGTGCTGGTCCCCTGTTGTTTTTTTGGCAGTGGAACTTCGGGACGGGGCGGCGTGTGTTTTGTTTTTTGGTGGTGGGGGCGGTTGGGGTGGGGGGTCGGTTTGGAGTGTTTGAGTCGTGAGGGGGGGTGGTTTTTTTTTTGGGGTGGGCGTTGGCGGGGATCCGGGCGGCGGTTTTTTTGCGTGAGGTGGCGCGTGGTGTTTTTTTGGTTGCGTGGTTTGGGGGTTTGGTGTGGTCTGTGGGGAAGGGGCAAGGCAGGGTGGTGGCGTTGCACAGGGGGAGGCGGTTTTTTTTTTTTGTTGGCCGTTGGGCGGGGGGAGGCGCCGGTCTGGGGCTGGGGTGTTAACGGAAAGGGGGTGGGTGGGAGGTGGAGTTGTTTTTTTTTGGTCTGATGTGTGATTGGACTTAGCGGTTTTTTTCGGGGGGGTGGGGGCGGGAAGTAATAGGAGGGCCGGGGTTTTGTGGGGCGGGTGGGGGGGGGGGGGGGAGGGGTGGGTGGGGGTCGGGGAGGGCCGGTCGAAGGTGTTTGGGTGTTTGTTTTTTGGGTCGGGGGTTTTTTTTTGTGTTTTTTTTTTTTTTTTTTTTTTTTTTTTGGGGGGGGGTGGTGGGTGGGGGGGGGGGGGTGGGGGTGGGGGGGTTGTGGGAGGGGGGGCAGGGGGGAGAAGGGGCACAGCAGGTGAGTGGGGGTCTTTTCTTTTTTTGTGGCGGGGAGGGGGGGAGGGGGGTTGGTGGGGTGTGCGCGGTGTTTTTTAGGGGGGCGGGGTTGGTGGATGTGGGGGAGGTGGCGGCGGCGGGGGGTGTGGGGAGGGTGTGGGGTTTTGGGGTGGGGGTGGGCGGGGGTGGGGCGGTAGTGTTTTTCTGCGGGGGCTAGGGCGGTGAGTTGGGCGGTGGTTTTTTGTTCTGGGGGGGGTGGTGCGGGGGGGGGGTAGGGGTTTTTTTTTTTTTTTGTTTTTTTTTTTTTTTTTTTCGGGGGGAGGGTTTTTTTTTTTGCGGGGGTTTTTTTTTTTTTGGGTTTTTTTTGGGGTTTTTGGTTTTTTGGTGGTGTTTGGGGAGTTTTTTTTTTTTGGCGGGAGGTGGGGTTTTGGCTGGGGGAGGGGCGGGCGTTTTTTTTTGGGGGGTGGGGGCACCACCCTGGGGGCGTAGGAGTGGGGGTGGTTGGCGGGGGGGGGGGGGGGGGGGGTTTTTGTGTTTTTTTTGGGGGGGCAGGTTTTTTTTTGGGGGGTTGGTTGTGGGTCTGGAGGGTTTTTTTTGTGGTGTTTTTTTTTTTTTTTTGGTGGGGGGCGAGGGGGGGGGGGGTTTTTTTTTTTTTTTTGTTTTTGGTTTTTTTCGCCGGGGGGGGGGGGGGGGGGTGGAGGTTGGGGGGGGGGGTTTGTGGTTGTTTTTGTTTTTTGAGCTTTTTTTTTTTTTTTTGTTCCACTATTTGTGTGATGCAGGACCAATGGGTATCTTTAAATGAATAATTCACAAAAAAAAAAAAAAAAAAAAAAAAAGTACTAAAACGGCATGTTTCTAATCTTACAAGCATATTCCCAGAAAACCTATAGGTTTGAAAAATTACAAAAAGACCCTTCGATCGAATTGATCAAGAAATAGCAGGTAAGCGGCGGACTTATAAACGCTAGATCTGGGCAAATAGCAGATTATATAGGTTTGAAAACTTACAAAAAGACCCTACGATCTTTAATTGAGCTAAAAAAAAATAGCAAGATCGCAATGGACCTAGAAAACCCTAGATCTAAAAAAATAGTAAGATTCTAGATCTAAGAAATAGAAAAATTACCAACAAACTTGACGAGATTGATGGCGTAAGATGACCAAAATTAACGATCTGATCGTACAAGAGAAGGTTCTGATACAAGTTATTTGTTGTGAGAGAGAAGGCTATGAAACCAAGTTAATTTTTAGTGAAAAAAGTCTACACATATAAAACTATTCGATAGGATACTGATTCACTAACTTGATGATGTGGGACAAAAAAACAACTCGAAAAAACCTAGACTATACCATGAGCCCAAAATATAATGGCTTTAAGCCCAAATATATAATAATACAATTAACAAATGAAACAAAAATAAATAGATAATAAATAAACAACATAGATGCACATAAAAATTAAATGTTAGCGGATATATATAGTTTGATATTATAAAAATATATATCCTTTAAGATCAAGAAAAAAAATTGCGTTTTGTTTCTCATAGACGTCTAAGCCAATTTTATGTTTGATCTTTAGAAAATCTTACTAAATGATTTTCTCTCAAGTTTGCATATTAATTTACAATCATGTATTTTTTATTTTATTTATCCCATTATGTATATATATATAAATAATAATAATATAGTCATCTTTTTATAATTTTTATCTTCTCATTAATTTATGATTTTATTGCTAAGTGAAAGTATGAAAAAACCCTATTCTACGTTCTCATATCTCCGATTGAACACAAAGAAAACTTAAACAGAGACAGAAGAAACAATTGAACAACGTAAAGAACGTAAGACAAGAGAAAGAACAAAGATAAAGGAACGAAAAAATTTACAAGTTGATGCAGCGGAAGGCTCAGACGAGTGGTTAATTTCAAAAATATGATAGAGATAATTCCCCAAAGGAAGTAATAAGAGACTTTATTGAAAACTTGAATGAATAACTAGACATATAAACAAACATATTATAGTGACAATCATAGTTCTACTAGGAAAAGTAGATAAGAAATTATACTACCAAAACAATGAATTAGAATCTCAATACTACTAAAATATGAATTAGAATCCTAATACTGCTAAAACAATGAATTAAATCATTAATACTACTTAAACAATAAATCATAGAATAAGAAATCAAGTATATTCCTACATCACAAATGAAGAGGTAGAAGACAGAATACTGTATAGCCGTAAAAAAAAAAAAATTAGAGCAAAACGAATATTCCCACTTGAGATTTAGAGAAATCCAGTTGAAACCCTGACTGCATTTATTCTAGATCTCACCTTAAAGTACGTTTGTTCCTTATTTTAACAGATTCCTAATTCTCACTATAGCACGGTGCACGTTAGCATGCTAAAGTGCTCGACGTTTTCTTTGGCATAACATTAGCTCATTTTAGCAAAAATGCTCAAGTTAGCAGCATTCAAGCAGGTGGTTTTTGCTTTTTTCGACGATTTCAAAGTTCAAAATTACTTCCGTGACATCGTTGGACTCCACCAACCTCCTCTGCAAAACCCATTCTTTTCGACCTCACTCACCATTCCGACCAACTCTAATAATCATCAACGGTGTTAGTTTAAAGGTGCGAATTAGGAATAAATGCAACCAATAATATCAACTTGGGATTTTGCTAAACCTAGGTAGGGAATTTGTCGGTACTCAAAAAATTATAGGAAAGGGTTAAAGACGAGTGTTATGAATTATAATAAGTGTAGTCAAATCTTGTTTAAATTACGTTTCTGTTCAATCTTAAACTTAACTAATTTTACTAAACTCTTTTATTTTTCCTAAAGAGACTCTTAACTTTATTTTAATTTACATTCGAAGTGGAGAATGATCACACTCACCTACATGGCTCCAAAATTATGAAAAAATTCTAAATAAGGGAGGCGGGGAGCCATTATAAATAACTACTTATTTCCAACACCAAAAATTGGTTTTTCACATGCTCTTTGTGAATAATAAACCTTTGCTTATGTGAAAGTCTAGCATGAAATTCAATTAACACCCTTCAATTTGATATATTCTTTTCTTCAACATTATCCAGAATGATTTTTAGCAACCCATCAATGCAATTAACACCCTTCATTTACATATCAATGTAATTGATAGCTAGTGATGTAGAATCAAGGTAATAAAAAAAGTTTAAGATTCTTTAGGTGGGTTCTTCCATATGTTAGCCACAAACATACGAAAAGTTGTATTGACTGCCTAATTAATTAATTATGTTAAGCTCATGGAGACTTACTACAATGGATTTTTTAAACAATGTAGAGTAATACAAAACCAAAAACAATAAAGACACATAAGTAAAGAGAAAGAATAATACACACGATTTATCTTCATTCATCCAATTATTAGGTTAGTTTAACAGAGTCAATATTATTGTAATACTTTATTATTTCTCTCGTTACAATTAAATTAATTTACTCTATTGCAAGTCAAATTTCATCTGTGTGGCCTGTTATTATTGAAGTCGTGGACAACTCCAACAATTTTTACATACAAAATTATAAATCCAGTTATTACTTAACTAATCAACGATTGTTTTGCTTTCTTTGAAAGATATTCATAATTAACTTTAAAAACTAAGGTAATCGAAGAGAAGGAAAATTTAGAAGTTTTCAAACTATCTCTACATAAACATAAAAGAATAATATTACACAATATGGTAAATTTATCATCACTTTTTAAGTTGATGGAGTTCATGAAGAATCAAATTTGTAGTGTTTATCGATAGCTACAGAAACATCCCAAGTGCAACTTATTCCCTTGGGGATGATCACAAGATCTCCTGCACCAAACTCTACAAATTCTGATGACCCTTTTGGAAACACTTTCACTTTGCCTTTGAGCAAGTAGCATGTCTCTTCTGCATTGTATTTAAACGTATACTTTCCCGGAGGACAACCCCATCTGATGAAAAGAAGAAAGAAAATTAAGAAACAATAAAAATATCAGCCTGCAACAATAAGTAATGAATATATTTATGCACTTACTTAGGCCATGACTTGATACCCAATTCAGATAATTTGGAATCTGAGGGATTGTTTTCAATTATGATGCCTATATTCGAGGATGATTCAGGTCTTGATGGTATTGCGGCCATGAAAGGAAACAGAAATCACAAGAATATGAAAGAAGCTCAAGAAGAAGAGAAAGAGTTTGGTTTGGGTTCTTTGGTAATTGGTAGTGGTCAGATAAAGGGTAGTTGGCCTGCTTATGTATATAAAAATATAATATCTGGGTAGCTGTCTGTTTGAAGACAAGAGAAAGAGGAATCTTTCCATAACTACGCCAAAGATATATCGTGTTGGAATTGCACTGTTAATAAACAATTTGGGTATAGGTCAGAGGATTAATCATATGGAAAACTTATAATGAGATTCGATGTATCAATACTGGTAACACGGCCGGATGCTGTTAATGATGAGGTCGTATCGTTATTTCTGCATGCAATGAACGGGTCAAAGGGTTGACCAAGTGAGGAAATACGTGGCAATGTTGAGTAGAATGTTTGACTGTTGTGTTGGTGATACTAATGTCTAATGGGAATAGAGACATTGACTTTTTGGTACAACCGTCCATAGAAGATGCTCTTTCCATATTTGGTTCGTTGTATTTAACACGATTTTTCAACTGTATTTGACAATATTATTATATATCCAATCTACAACCCACTATCTTTGTAATTTCCTTACAAAACATGTGATTAAAATGTTTAAATGTTCAAACATTCAAATATAGATTATGTTTATGTATGTCATGATAGGTGGGTTTTTAGACGTATTGTCCGCTTTAAATCCTGAGACCCGTACAGTTTTATCTTAAAAATAGACCTCTAGATGGTGAGAATATCCTTGTACTATATGCGACCAAGACCCTCGTCTTATGATCAATGTGAGACTTTCGCACCAAAAAATTAATATGAATATAATTTTTTTTATTGTTATATCATCCAGTCAAATTACTGTTTATATATAATTCACATATCAATTCATCATCTAATACATCAATTTATATATGAATATTTGTATACATGATTTTTTCATCTCATATTATAAATTTATTTATACACAATATTTTAATAGCCAATCTTAGGTGAAACCCGGCAAAGTTGTCAGGTCCAAGGTTGACCGGGGTGTCCAAAAGTTTAAAATTCAACAAATACACCCTTAAAAATCACAATTAAGGTTCTACATGTTTGAAATTTAGTAAACACATCACAAATACAAATTGGCAGTCAACTAGTTGGCGGTGACGACTAATCTCAATCATCCCTTGAGCCATTTCCCAGAAAATCTACCCAAGATCTGATCGAAATCAGTTCGATTTCGGCCAGATCTCACCATCAACGACATCGACAACCCTCTCCATCACCATGAAAATACTCCCCTCAATCTCCTGACCAAACCCTATCTCACCCCAACCCCTTTTGCCTCGCCAATCACCGACAACAACTGGTTGTTGCCACCACAGGTTTTTTTGATATCCAGTTGATTCACTCATCGAAAATCACCTCTGTTGCCACCATTGCACTCACCGACCCTTCCTCTTCAAAACCCCCAACCTCCTGGGCTTCATTTATTCAGATCATCATCCTAATTTTTAATGTTTTCAGTGAATATGAAAATTGGTAACCTGGCCCAATAAAGGTCCCAAGTCCGAATTGAACCAGTTCAACCGACCGAGTTGGGTTGAGCCGAATTTTAAAACATTGTTTATAAATACAAATTGTTAGATATTAATGTTTCTTTTATCACATCATTTATTGAGTGTTTATTAAATAAATTTTTAATAGACATTTATCCATTAATTTTTTCTCACATTAATTTGTACATAAAGGCTGACACTATCCCTTACGAGCATCTCCAATTGTGCTCTTTATTTTAAAGAGCATCTTTTATATAAATAAAGAGTATCTTCATTAATTTTTAAATATAAAGAACACAATTTTTATTTAAATCCAATGGATTCTTTAAATTGAATGAAGATGCTCTTTATTTTTAAAAAAGAGACTTTATGGGAGAGATAATTAATAAATAAAATACATAGGAATTTGTAGTTTATTAATTAAAATTAAGATAAAGAGTGAAATTTGACTCTCTAAATATGGAGAGTCAAACTCACTCTTTAATTTATATTTTAAAGATAAAGAGTATGTTAGAGCATCTCTAATTGTGCTCTTTATTTTGAAGAGTATCTTTCATATAAATAAGAAGTATCTTCATTAATTTTAAAATATAAAGAACACAATTTTTATTCAAATCCAATAGACTTTTTAAATTTAATTAAGATACTCCTTATTTTTAAGAAAGAGACTTAATGGAAGAGAGAATTAATAAATAAAATGCATAAGAACTTGTAGTTTACTAATTAAAATTAGGATAAAAAGTGAAATTTGACTCTTTAAATGTGGAGAGTCAAACTCACTCTCTAATTTATATTTTAAAGATAAAGAGCTTGTTTGACCTTTTTTTTTTTTTTAATACTCTTTATAATAAAGAGTTTGAGTCATATAAAATGTCTTTTGGAGATGTTCTTAGACTCTTGTTTTTATAGATAGACTCTTTATAATAAAGAGTTTAGGTCACATAAAAAGTCCTTTAGAGATACTCTTACTTAACTTGTTAACTAACTGAGTTACACTAAATAATTAATCATAGAACTATTATTGATTAACGTGTAACGCATTTCACACTTCTAGAAGATATATACCTTCATAAACATTACATTATATCTAATATTCTCAAGTTTACTTGATATATAGGTGGAAGTATATGATTAACCGTAGAAATAACCCACATACTTTACTACCCAAAAAATGTAAAAAAAAAATAAAAGTTAAAAAAATTGTCCAAAAAGATCATAATCTCTTAGAGCTAGACTAAGATCAAAGTTAATATTACATGGGCACAGTGATGACATGAGAAAACTAACAAACAATCAAGATTGCTTCGACAACAATTGATTAGCTAATTTCGAAACAACGAACAAATCATCTGCTATAATTTCAGAATATACATTATTTACCATACAAGGAACACTTACATAAATTACAAATTATCTCTACGCACAGTACGACTATAGCTAACACCCATTAAAAAGAAGCCAATTTTTTTTATTATAAAATGATGAAAACATCCAATCCATCAAATACATTGAATATCTAAAATCTCCGAAACCTGCTGTGGAACTTTCATCTCCTTGAAACTAACTTTTCTCCTTTGGTCCTTCCTTTTCTCTTCTTCCTCCTATTCTTTCTCCCAGCTGCCTACACAAGAACTACAACCCATATTGTCAAATACTGTAGTCTGTGTCCCTTCAAAGCTTCTCGTATCTTGTCCTGAAGAATCAGAAACCTTCTCTGCCCGTCTTATGATAACTGATTTCTTTTTCTTTGGCACACAGAGAAAATTAAAGAGGGCTATAATACTATTCTTCTTCTTGTAAGACTCTAGTTCTCTAAAAAGTTTTGCAACCACCTCTTCCTCCAAAGCCTGTTATGGAACTGGAACTTTCATCTTCTTGGAATCAATTTTTCTCCTATTTTCCTCTTCTTTCTCCCAATTACTTAGGCCCAAACTACTACCCATATCAAATTCTATAGGCTGTTCATTTACTGAAGAATCAGAAATTTCCTCTGCCTGTGTTATGATCATTAATCTCTCTTTCCTCAACACAGAGAGCAAATTAAAGAAGGCTAAAGTAGAACCATTCCTCTTCTTATAAGACTCTAGTTCTCTCTTAAGTTTTGCTGCTTCAGGATCCATGCTAATTTTTTGGTTAAAAAAAAACCTATAACTCTATTTTCCCTGGATTGATTTTCAAATTGTGATTATCACTCTATCTTTAGTGGAAGAATCGCTGAAATTTGGAAATGAAGAGTTCAGGAGTTAGTCCAGACACAGTCACTTATAATGTGGTCATAGATGAACTTTGCAGAAAGGGAAATTGCACGAAGCAAATAGGTTGTCGGAATTGCTGATTCAAAGAAGTGTGGATCCCAACGTTTATACTTACAACATTTTAATGAATGGTTATTGCTTGGCAGATAGAATTGGTGATGCAAGGGAGTTGTTTGAATATATAACTAGAAAGGGGTATAACTAGCAGACAACATCAGGTCAATACCCCTTGTCTAGTTATAGAATCAAACAACTTCTTGTATCACCAATTTTATCTGCCAGGCAATAATCATTCATTAAAATGTTGTGAGTGTAAACATCAGCATACACACTTCTTTGAATCAACCATTCCGACAAACTATTCGCTTCGTTCAATTTCCCTTGCTATGACCACATTATAACTGCGTCTAGACTAATTCCCCAACTCCATTTCCAGCCTTTCTAGTAACTAAATTAACTTCACTGAACAAGCCCTTAAAGAAAAAGTGTAGAATCTGCTAAAGGAATTGCCTTTAATTCATAAATTCATTCATTTTTCTAATAGGGCAAACCTTTGGAGAAGAATTCGGGGACTTTTTGCTGCTCTTCGCCACAATTATAACAATCTTCAATGAAGACGAAGACGGAGATGGAGAAGATAAAGCATAACCCCAACCGCCAAATGGAAATGTAGCTCAATGGTGGTCCAAGCTTCAGGAGTTAAGAAAGAATAACTACACAGAAAAAAAAAAAAAAAAAAAAAGTCAGTGAATTATCAGGAAAAATTAGTTTTGGAGCAGATAATTATCAGTGTGAATTATGCAGAATGTAAAGTTTCCGATCTTAATCAGCAGAAAACCATCCTAAAGGTAGCAACCTAGACGAAATCAAAGAACAAAACAATACTGAAGCGATCAGAGAAAAACTGATTCAATGATCAGAGAATTGAATAGCACTACATACACTTTACACTTTTTTTGGTTGCAGAGAAAATACCGGGAATTATTTTGTTTTCTCGGCAACCAAACAGAAAGTCAACTATCAAGGAAAAAACAACGAAAAAAGAAGCAAAAATTAAACTTCTGTGCAGCAAACATTTTTTAAAAAAGCAAAAACTAGATCCGAAAAATAACAAAATTAAGAGCAGAAAATTTAAAAAAAAAAAACAAAAAAAGTCAGTGAATTATCAGGAACAAATAGTTTTGGAGCAGATAATTATCGATGTGAATTATGCAGAATGTAAAGTTTCCAATCTTAATAAGCAGAAAATCATCCTAAAGGCAGTAACCTAGACGAAATCAAAGAACGAAACAATAATGAAGCGATCAGAGAAAAACTGATTCAACGATCAGAGAATTGAATAGCACTACATACACTTTACACTTTTTTTGGTTGCAGAGAAATACCGGGAATTATTTTGTTTTCTCGGCAACCAAACAGAAAGTCAATTATCAAGGGAAAAACAACGAAAAAAAAGGCAAAAATTAAACTTCTGTGCAGCAAACATTTATTAAAAAGGCAAAAACTAGATCCAACAAATAACAAAATTAAGAGCACAAAATTAAAAAAAAAAAAAAAAAAAAAAAAAAAAAAAAAAAAAAAACCGAAGAGATCTGACCGACCTTGTTCGATTGAAGAGAGACGATCGTGATCCTTAGATCTGAGTTTTGTTGTTTTCATTATTTTTGTGATGCAGGACAAATGGGTATCTTCTAAATGAACAATTCACACAAAAAAAAAAATAAAAAAATAAAAAAATACTAAACGGCATAGTTTCTAATCTTACAAACACTTTCCTAAGAAAACCCTATAGGTTTGAAAAATAACAAAAAGACCCCTACGATCTGAATTGATCTAAGAAAATAGCAGGTAAGCGGCGGACTTATAAAACGCTAGATCTGGGCAAACAGCAAGATCATATAGGTTTGAAAACTTACAAAAAGACCCCTACGATCTTAATTCAGATAAAAAAATAGCAAGATCCGCAATGGACCTAGAAAACCCTAGATCTAAAAAAATAGTAAGATTCCTAGATCTAAGAATATAGCAAAATTACCAACAAACTTGAGGAGATTGATGGCGTAAGGTGACCAAAATTAATGATCTGATCGTACAAGAGAAGGTTCTGATACCAAGTTATTTTTTTGTGAAATAGAAGGCTATGAAACCAAGTTAATTTTTAGTGAAAAAAATCTACACATATAAACTATTCGATAGAAATATTGATTCCACTAACTTGATGATGTGGGACAAAAAAACAACCCGAAAAACCTAGACTATACCATGAGCCCAAATATAATTGGCTTTAAGCCCAAATATATAATAATACAATTAACAAATGAAACAAAAATAAATAAACCAAACTAGAATGCACATAAAAATTAAATGTTAGCATATATATATAGTTTTGATATATAAAAATATATATTCTTTTAAGATCAAGAAAAAAAATTGCGTTTTGTTTCTCATAGACGTCTAAGCCAATTTTATGTTTGATCTTTAGAAATATCTTATCTAAATGTATTTTCTCTCAAGTTTCTGCATATTAATTCTACAATCATGTATTTTTTTTAATTTTATTTATCCCCTATTATGTGTGTGTGTATATATATATATATAATAGTCTATCTTTTTATTTAATTTTTATCTTCTCATTAATTTATGATTTATTTGCTAAGTGAAAGTATGAAACACCCTATTCTATTGTTCTCATATCTCCAATTGAACACAAAGAAAACATAAACATAGACAGAAGAAACAATTGAACAACGTAAAGAACGTAGGACAAGAGAAAGAACAAAGATAAAGGAACGAAAAAACTTACAAGTTGACACAGCGGAAGGCTCGGACTCGAGTGGTTAATTTCAAAAATATGATAGAGATAAATTCCCCAAAGGAAGTAATAAGAGACTTTATTGAAAACTTAAATGAATAACTAGACACATAACAAACATATTTATAGTTGACTAATCATAGTTCTACTATGAAAAGTAGATAAGAAATCCTAATACTACTAAAACAATGAATTAGAATCTTAATACTACTTAAACAATAAATCATAGAATAAGAAATCAAGTAATATTCCTACATCACAAGTGAAGAGCGTAGAAAACAGAATATTGTATAGCCGTAAAAAAAAATTAGAGCAAACGACATATTCCCACTTGAGATTTAGCGAAATCCAAAGTTGATACCCCTAACTGTATTTATTCTAGATTTTCGCCCTTAAAGTAACGTTTGTTTCCTTTATTTTAACAGATTCCCAACTTCTCACCATAGCACGGTGCACGTCAGCAAGATAAAGTGCGTCGACCCTTTCTTTGACAAAAGATGAGCTCATTTTAGCAAAAAAGACTCACATTAACAACGTTCAAACCGGTGGTTTTTGTCTAATTCCGATCGATTTCAAAGTTCAAAATCACTTCCGCGACCACCGTTGGACTCTCACAACCTCCTCTGTAAAGCCCATACCTTTTTTTTGACCTCACTCACCATTTCCAACCAACTCCAATAATCATCAACGGTGTTAGTTTAAGGGTGAGAATTAGGAATAAATGCAACCAATAATATCAACTTGGGATTTCCCTAAACCTGGCTGGGAATTTGTCGTTTACTCAAAAAATTATAGGAAAGGGTTAAAGACGAGCGTTATGAATTTATAATAAGTGTAGTCCAAATCTTGTTTAAATTACATTTCCTGTTTCAATCTTAACTTTTCTACTTTTTACTATACTCTTTAATTTTTCCTAAAGGGACTCTTTAACTTTATTTTAATTTACATTCGAAGTGGAGAATGATCACACTCACCATACATGGCTCCAAAATTATGAAAGCATTTCTAAATAAGGGAGGCAGGGAGCCATTATAAATAACTACTATTTTCCAACACCAAATAATTGGTTTTTCACATTGCTCTTTGTGAATAATAAACCTTTGCTTATGTGAAAGTCTAGCATAGAAAATGTACATTTGTTTATATAAGAAAAATACAAGTATTATACAACAAGTAATTTATACAAGATTCAATGTCAAGATCATATCCCTTTTCTGTCCACAAAATAATGAGGAAGGAATGTGCTCAATAAATTAGCTAAGCTATTATAATTTATAAATGACATTCATTTTATTTCTCACTTGGCGTCAAGATAAGTCCAGTAATGATTCACTTCGTTTCAGGAAAAAGCACCACATATAAGAATTGTTCATATATCTATCTCCCTATAACCATGAACCATTCAGATCTCTCCTACAACTTCCAAGCAAAAGGGAACAGAGTGACATCCAAGATTGAAGAGGTCAAACACAATCAAAATAGCAATTTTGTCCATGAACCCAAGAATGGAAAAACGGCGATCAGCAGCCTCAACAACAATGGTTTGTCTCTCATTCTCCCTATCCTACTCAGTTTACCTTTCTTCTGGTGCTTTGGTGGAAGATTTCGATAACTCTGAAAATAATAGGGGAGGGGCTTAAAAAGAGTGTATCTCGTGGAGTTTAGTATGATTTTACCTACAAAATAGCTTCAGTAATGTCAAATCAATAGGTTTCCACTGAATCACTGATTAACTAACATGAAAATAAATTAAATTAAAATGAATAAAAATCCTTCAAGAATATATATCCATAAAGCCAACTTTATTAATGTTTTTTTGTATATAAATTGGTATGAAATAATGGAAGGGGATGATATGATATAACCTTGAAATGAAATGAAATGTAATGGATATGCATATGAATATGAATATTTGCCCTGATATGCTCATAAAACACATAGAAAGATGAAATGTTTTCTCTTTCTAATGTTATTGTTGGGACAAGCATTAGTCACCTTCACCCTGCAAGATAATGTATGTCACAAATACTTGAAATGTGTCCATCACTACTACTGCACGTCAATGCGGAAGGTGCTGCTCCACTTCATGTTGCGGCCATTGTACTATAGTGAAACCTCTTATTCAAAGCGCGAAAACTGGAGAGGACGAGAGAGATTCAAAGAGTGGGTTAAGACCTGAGTGGGAGATGCTGAAGATGACCAATTCTGAAAATAACACTGCATTGCATGAGGTTGTGCGACATATTGATTACTTCGAAATATGCCCATTTTGTTCCTCTTTCACATCCTTATACAGCGGTGGGTGTAGCACGATTATTTTTTGATAATGTATTTAAGCTTCATGGAATGCCCAAGTCTATTGTTTGTGATAGAGATCCAACTTTCACTTGTGTTTTTTGGAGGGAGTTGTTCTGTTTGAATGGTACTTCTTTTAATTTCAGCTCTAGTTACCACCCTCAGACCGACGGGCAGACCAAAGTGGTTAATAGAACACTCGAAATGTACCTTCGTTGTTTCACCAATTCTTATCCAAAGGAGTGGCTTAGGTGGCTTTCTTGGACTGAATACTGCTATAACACAAGCTGGCATTCCTCAATTCAAAGAACTCCATTCGAAGTTGTTTATGGCAGGAGTCCTCACGGTTGCTTAATTATGTTCTAGGAACTGCCAAGGTGGAGGTAGTCAAGCAAGAGATGATCTCTAGAGACCAGGTTTTGCGAGAAGTACATCTTTGTATTACTCGAGCTCAAGGTCGAATGAAAAAGGTCTATGATTCCAAGCACAAGGAACGTGAGTTTCAGGTGGGAGATCAAGTTTATTTGAAGCTACAACCTTACCGCCAATTAACCGTGGCAGCTCATAAAAATCTCAAGCTCTCAGCTCGTTTTTATGGCCCATTTGAAGTACTGGAGAGAATTGGTAAGGTCGCTTATAGATTGAAACTTCCACCTTCTTCAAAAATCCATCCTATTTTTCATGTCTCTGTTCTTAAGGCAAAGGTTCGAGAGGGGCAGTCAAATATGTAGATTTTGCTTGAACTTAATGGGATAAGTTGGTATCTTGTCCTCAGGCGGTGCTTGATCGGCGATTTCGAAAGGAAAAACTGAATTTTTGATTCACTGGCAAGGTTTGTCTCCTACAGATGCTACATGGGAAGTTGGTGATATTTTACAAGAACGTTTTCCAGAGTTTATCCTCGAGGACGAGGATCATTTTCAAGGGGAGGGGAATGTTGCAACCATTTAAGTAGTGGCTATCTTTTCGGTGCTTGGTTATTTGTTTCCTAAGTTTTTGGTTAATTTGTTATTTCATTTACTTGGCTGTAAGGAAGTAAACGCTGTAGCTGCAAGTCCTACTATTTTGTTGATTGTTTCCTTATTTTTCTAGAGTTGTTTATCATTTGAGTTGTATAAATTATTCAGAAGTATTCAATAAAGGGGCGATCATTTGTTATTAGACTCACTTAGAGTTATTTGGGAGGCGTTGGTTCCTCATATAAGCCAACAAGTCTACTGTTTCTTTCCTCTTTTAAAATTCTTAGATTTGTTCATATCAGTTTGTCTGTCATTCTCCCTATCCTACTCAGTTTACCTTTCTTCTGGTGCTTTGGTGGAAGATTTCGATAACTCTGAAAATAGTAGGGGAGGGTCTTAAAAAGAGTGTTATCTCATGGAGTTAAGTGTGATTTTACCTATAAAATAGCTTCAGTAATGTCAAATCAACAGGTTTCCACTGAATCACTGATTAACTAACATGAAAATAAATTAAATTAAAATGAATAAAAATCCTTCAAGAATGTATATCCATAAAGCCAACTTTATTAATGTTTTTTTGTATATAAATTGGTATGAAATAATGGAAGGGGATGATATGATATAACCTTGAAATGAAATGTAAT